CTACACGTCTTTAATTTGAAAATTTCAAATATTTTTTAATTATTTTTTTGATGAAAATTATTATTCAAATTGTGAATCTAAACCATCCCCAGATCCCCTTGAACACATACAAAAAATTTCATCAAAATCGGTCCAGTCGTTTGAGAGAAGTTCAGTGACATACACACTCACAGAAGAATTATATATATAAAGACTAGCGGACCCGACAGACGTTGTCCTGTCTACACGTCTTTAATTTGAAAATTTCAAACATTTTTTAATTATTTTTTTGATGAAAATTATTATTCAAATTGTGAATCTAAACCATCCCCAGATCCCCTTGAACACATACAAAAAATTTCATCAAAATCGGTCCAGTCGTTTGAGAGAAGTTCAGTGACATACACACTCACAGAAGAATTATATATATAAAGATGATATTCCTTGATGCCTTAGATTAGGTTCTTAAGAAGTGTGTGTGTGAAAGTGAAAGATCATACGCAAGTTTTCCATTTTTAAGTTTTAGTTTATGGAAACTGATTTTTATATTACAGATAAAATCCCATTGGACTCACTTCTTATAGTAAAATGATGGTAGTATAGACTTATAACTTTATGATAAGTAAGTACCTACTTAGTTAAATAAATCAAGAGGGGAAGTGGAAGAACAAACAAACACACAAATTATACAAACTTTTGCTTTGATAATAGATGTGTGATTTAAAGATATCCTAAGTTAATATAATGTAAATATAACTCCAACTTTTCGTAGAACCTTCTTGATGTAAATACGTTTTTATGGTATCGTTAGAAAAGGTGCCAATGGAAAGCTATTACTACGCCTCCGCTGTCCGTCTGTCCGTTCGTCCGTCAGAAGGCTGTATCTCATGAACCGTTATAGGTAGAGACTTAAAATTTTCACAGAGTATTTCTATTGCCGCTATAACAACAAATAATAAAAAAAACCAAGATGACGAATTTCAAAAAAACCTTTTTGCCATGCAATTTAAAAAAACGATTATGATACGGAGCCCTTTTTATTTATATTTATACATATTATCTCAACTATTTAATATCTCATACTTTGTCACTTCTCATGTAGTTTGAATTTTATTCTTATGAATTATTATTATAAGAATAAAATCCATTTGAAAGGTCTCTTTTTTCTATATTTTATGAAACGACAAAATGTTTTTAATAAATAATACGCCATCGAAATATAAAGATTGTTTGAGTTAAGTTAGTTTTTTTTATATTTATGTACGTAGTTTTAGCAATTTTCGAGACAGACTATGTAAATTAGACAGTTGTAGCCTTCGCTTTGTTTGTACAATGCTCGTCCAATGTTTTTAAATGTTACCTACATACTTTTCTTTAATAAATTTATATTTGTAAAGGATATTCTTGTTACTTTACAGATTTCAGTATCACTATGTCATTATGAGGTACCTACACAGAAGGCATAGTAAAAATTAGCTTTTCGTTAAGTTAAAGAAATAAAAAAAAGAGCTCCAAACGTTGATTTTGATATTTCTTCCACTTTCAAGTACTTCTCCACTCCAATAAATTATGGTTTTTGTGAATTTAAAATATTCAAATAAATTCACCTAGTATCTATCTACCCATATAATTTATATTTAAAGGCGTGCCATCTATTAGTTACTAGTGGTTCACCCTCGCTTCGCTCGGGTTCGTCCCTAGGTAGTAGGTACGTTATATAGATTATAATAGATATAATCAATAGTTATTACTTATTAGCCAGCGTTAGGCATATACATTTTATTCATGAACTTTTCTCATGTTTTAATAGTTATTCTGTTATTCTGGGCGGAGAAAAATCTAACAAATCAAAAACCATCAAAATCGGTCCAGCAGTTCTCGAGTTATAAGTGTAGTAACAAATCCGACTTTGTTTTATACATATATAGGTATAGATTACTACAATAATTAAAGATTGGTTTTCAAAATATGTTATAGATCATAAATTGAAGGTTATTTAACACGTTTATTTAAGAGATGAAAAAAAAATTGATTAATTATTTCTCAACACGACTAAAAATCAAGGTTCAATCGTTTTAACAAAATCAATTTTTCTTTTATACTCTCTGGTATATTATGAAACAACATATATGTATGTATTCATCTAAAAAAAAGGTCACGACATTAGCATATTTATTAATATCAAATTCTGGCATAATTTTGTTATGTTTGTGTCTATATAAAAAATGAAATTTTGCTTATAAATATAGTAATGTACGTACAGAAAGTTAGATTATTATATATACTTTAGTAGGTACTTTTGAATTATATAGTTAGCTTTTGGATAACAGACAGTATTATTTAATATAAGAAAAAGTTGAATCATCATTTAGTAAATTTAAAGTATTGCGTGTTAATTGTTAAAACATGTTTTTCCTCTATACCCGATAAGAGTTACGTTAGACATTCTTAAGTAGTAGATGTTTCTGTTATGAGATGATATGACATTGTATTATTAATTTAGGTTGCCCTTAAACTTTTAACAACTGTGCCAACAGTTACTATCCATTGACACAGTCCACTTTTAGTAATGGCGTCATATTCACGTTAAAACAATCAAATCTAAATCTATGCATCTATACATATAATAAAATTGTAACTAAGCCGAATCTGTACATTAGATATTTTTTGGAAAATCTGATTGAAATAAACATTATACGATACAGAGGTTGAATCTATAGTTTTTAGAATTTTTGTCTGTCTGTCTGTTACCGCATCGCAGAAAAACCATTGGAGGGATTTTGATGATATTTGGTATGGTGATAGCTGGTTATCCAAGTCAACATATAGGATACTTTTTGCCGCGGGAAAATATCTCAATTTTGAGAAAAAATACAAAAACTGCAATGTAAGAGTATACTAATATGGAAAACCTAAGAATTTGGTTTTTGGTCATACTCGTATAATAATAAGGTGTAACTGGTCGTTGTCAGTACATGGAAGATATTAGAGAAAAACTATTATCGGGGGTCTTCTTTAACGCAATAAAACCCAAAACAGTGGTCTTTAGAATTTATGTCTGTTTGTCTGTGCGTTTGTGCGCGCTAATCTCAAAAACACTTTAAATGATTTAGGTGCGATTTTTACTAATCTGTTGTGGCAGGCTTCACTTAACATTTAGTATTTGTTTGATTTCAATCGATTGATAAGTAAAAAACTTTGCCAATTTAAATAATCACCTAGTGACGAACCCGAGCGAAGCGAGGGTGAATCGCTAGTACTATTACCTATATAAAGCTAAAGAATTAGTTTTTTGTTTGTACGAAATTGTTAATATTTGGAACTACTACATTTTGAAAAAATCCTTTTGCTTTTCTATCAACCTATTTTATTTATTATTCATACGCAGCATTAATAGCAGAGCTGTTAGCAAACATTAGTAGGTAAGGATAAATGGTTTCTATTTTAACATTTATTAATTTTATATATTACTTCCAGGTACATTTCTAAGAAATTAATTAAATTTCTAAGAAATCTATTGTTAACTGTAAAGCCGGCGTGTCCGCGGCCGTGGAGGGAATATACTAGTTTTAGACTAAAAAATAAAAATGCATTTTGAAACGTTGATATTGGATTATTATTATATTGGATTCGACACTCGCAAAGCCTGCAATACAGTTAAGAACATCAATGTTCACGCCTAATTTTAATAAATTCTAACCAATATTAAGTTGATTTGTAAAAAGATTCAATCGCTTATGTTAATTACTCACTATCTCGACCTATATTGAGCAATAGTAATATTTCTAATATAGTTTATCAAATGTAATTGTTTCAAAACATAAATTAATTTATCAATGATATAAATAGATTATATAAAATCTTCAAGGTAACGGTAGCGAGTTACTGCTTGATAACGTGATAACGATTTTGAACCGGGAATTTGAAAAAAAACTAGTTGTAATAAATAATGTGTATTAAAAATATTTTACCTAGAGAATGTACTATATGTTTTGTCTCTTATTTTCTTGAAATGCATAAATCATAATCGAAGCTACGAATACTGAATAGGCTAATTGTTTACTTATATGCGTAGCAAAGTTTGTATAGTAACGGCGCAGGCGCATATTTAGGGTATAATAAGGTTTTTGATAATTTTAATATTTATCGATGGTAACACTAAACTTACTTTCTAAATAAATAATATTTAATGTTTAAAATAAGGCCTTTCATGTCATAATATTAATGTTTGATAAAAAAAATATTCAACGTTAAAAAATTAGTTACGTTTTAACGTTTAGTGTAGATTTCTCAGAGATGAGATATTTTCCCGCATAAAATAAGTATCCTATATGTTGATCCGGATAACCAGCTACCATCATACCAAATTTCATCAAAATCTCTCCAGTGGTTTTGCCGTGATGCGGTAACAGACAAACAGACAGACAAAAATTCTAAAAACTATAGATTCGGCCTTTGTATCGATAATAATGTCTATTACAATAAGATTTTCCAAAAAATATTTAATGTACTCGGTTTAGTTACAATTTTATTATATGTATAGAATAATAAAAAATGTGTTTACACTATAGTATTTAAAAAATATATCAAAACGAATACCCAATTACTTAAGATCAGATAAGTAAAACAGAATCACATATTATGTATGCAACACAATGAAAGTTACACAATTGTTTTAATATTATGTAGGCCATCTCGACATAACTACATTGGTATATAATAATAATGCATTAAATTTATTCAAAGTTATTTTGCACATCGAATGGGCGCGAAACTAAGCGTGGAAAAGCGGCGCGGGCGCATTTCATACGTTGAGCTCAGTCGATTTCGCAAACCACCATCTAATGTGAACCTATTAACCTCTCCGAGCGAGGCTCCTAAGCGAAGGCGAGAGGCGGATGAGGAGACGAGCTGTGCGTTCATTAGACACAAGGTTGTGTCAGTCATCCAGCCGGACCACGCAGCGATTCACACGTAATAACACAACGCGAATTAAAAGTAAACAAACAATGATGTCTCACCTTGCCAGTTGTAGTGCACTTCTATTCGCAATCTCATTGTAAAAATTCAAAAGGATGTTACTATCGAACATATTAGCACTGCATCACAGCCATTTCACAGAAATATAATATAGTAACAACAAAAACAATCCTCAACACAACGATCACAGGATAATCACAATGTCCGGTCCTAGGCACGTCCGTGCGCGAGCGACGTCAAATCAAACTGGCCCGGTCAAAATGACGAAAGTGAAAACATCGCACGCACAGAAAAAAAGGTTGTCGGCGCGCCACAGTCCTTGCGAGCCACCTCTCGCGGGCTCCAGTGACACAGTAACTGCGCGTGCGCATACCCGACGCCTATATAACTAAGCGCTCGGAAGCTCGAACTTCAAACGCCAGCGGACGGCACAAAAAGGAGATGAGCTCTCGCGGTAGCTAGGAAAGAATGAGTACAAAGAATAGCGACACGTGGGCGTGTGTGCGTAGATGCAAGTGTCAGTGTGTGCAGAGATAGGCGGTCGCAGGAAACTCCGTTCTCTTCCACAAGGAAAGACCTTGGATTTGAGTCGGCACGTTGCAATGTGTATCGCCGTCGCCTACGCCGCTGTTACCTACTTGCCGCTAACGGCTATAGCTGATTAAACGATGATTCCATTGTACAGTTTATTTTTAAAAACTACATTGCACTCAATTGCAATGGCAATCAAAATATGATTTACTAAAGTATTTATGTCATGCAGCACATATACCACAAAAATCTAGCCACAACTTGCCACATAAAAGCCAAACATCTTATGATCTCATTACATTTAACAATTTTAAATATATTAATATTGAGACAACTTTGTTGTATTGATAGAGCATTAAATTGCATAGATAATATAACTTGGAGATGTTATATTATTTTATATGAGCAATTCATAGCCATAAAAATTTAGGTCAAAGTCAAGTTACTAATTAACAGTCGCTTGTAATATTTAGCACTCGTGTAAACATAAAACATAGAATAGAAATTCATGATATAAAATCTTTGATCATTCATTCAACAAAAGAAGGCCACGAAATAAATATTATTCTAAGACTAGAATTGATGAGTAAAACAGATATTTAACAAAACGATGATACAAAAAACGTAAAAAATGGTCATGAGGCAATGAAAGTTGATAATGATGTTACCACTGTGACACGTTTTTGAGCTCACTCAGTGCGCATTGCACAATGAGTAAATGAAATTTGAGATAATTATGCAAAGTGGGTCGTTAGACATGCTTTCGTTTCATTTTTAATAAGGGATTTTTGATGAAACTCTTAATTTAAATATTTAATATTTATATAAACAAGAAATATATTTAATGCATCGCATCCTTATTTTTGCATGGTTTGTAATAATAATAAAAAACGTATATATAAAAGAAAGATAATGACAACAAATTGCTACAGATAAATAAAGTATTATCTTTTTCAAAGAATTTTCAAAGATTCGCTTTTTTATATAAATTTAATTGACCTACACTGATATTTCAAAACCTGCACCAAAGTCAAAATTACTCTAAAAATTAAACATACGAAAGTTTCAGAACCGGTTATTTAATAACATAAATTGTACACAAACTCGTTCCGTTGATAACGTAATAGCATTTCACTTTCGCTTCCACATTCATTGTCTAGAACGATTGGATAACTTGGCAAATATCATCTGAACCGCGAACTTATATAAATACGTTTGTATCTGTGAGAAAAGTCTTAATTACATCTTGCTTTCAGTACTTAATTCGTTTTCATAAGTTATACTTTGTTTTAAATAAATAATAAATAAATATGTTGGGACATTAGCACACAGCACCATCTAGTTCCATAGTAAGCTATAAGGCTTGTGTTATGGATACCAGATAGTTGACTACACATATATAACTTTTAAATACATACATATTATAAATATAAACACCCATGACTGGACTACAAACATTCGTGATCATAACACAAATGATTGCCTCCAGCGGGACTCGAACTCGGGACCACTAACTAGCACAGCAAGTAGGGTCACTACAAACAGAGCTAAACGTTTTGTAACTGATAGGTTAATGGTACTTGCTCTTTGTAACCCTGCTCATAATGTGAAATGCCGAAGTTGATTAATCGTGTAGAAAAGCTGAAATTATAGTGAAATCGGTATATTACAACATTTTCTTTAATGTCGAATTTAATATGAATATCAAAACGATATTATATAAAGTACTTATATGCATGCCAAATACCAATCGATAGGATAGTCAAAAAACAAAAGAAAATGAAAGAAAAATCTATTTTCTTTGTTACATTTAAACTTGACTATCTTAACTACCTTGGGATATAGGGACGTTTTATTCACTCTGTTTCATATTATTGTATTTTTGAAGTGAAACTTCTTTAGGCGCACCATGAGAGGGGAAAAAAGGATTGGCGTTACGATTTTTGTAACGGAAGCGGTTACGCTTTGTTACGGAAGTGAATAAATAATCAATTAAAATATTTAAAGTATTATTTGAATATTTTAAAGAATAACTAAAAATAGATATACAAATATACTTCAATCATTTATTTTTAAGTGTGTGGTGATAACAATTTTTTTTTACTAAAAAAACTGCATCCCTGTATTGTTATTTATTTTATTGGAGTACAAAAACATTTGATGGAAAATTAAATTTTATCTCAACACCTTCTGTACTACGTGAATATTAAAATATTGTTTTCCTTTTCAAATCAATAAAAAAATATTTTTTAGTATCTCACCTACCCTAAATATTTAAAACATGAATTGAATTTCATAAAAAGTATCGATAACCTACAGAAGTTTCACTTCTTGCGCGTTTACACATTGATACACGCACTCTTTCACTTTTTGTTCGATTAAAATTCGATCTGCTTGTATCAATATGTCTTAGTAGTTCAAACTTATGAATATTGGATCACCCTAAAAGATCGATAATCGCATTATCCTTATTTATTTATCTCCTTTTTTACAAGTAGACTGAAATGCAGTAGCATCATTTTCCTCCATACCAATATTTTATATTCTGCTATTGCCACTTATGAAGCTGTAGAATCAGAATAAGATACTCTACCAGGAATCGAACTAACGACCTAGTTGCTGGAATAGTACATACAGTTATTGGTAATTAATAATTAGCTGCCATATCAAACAACGCGGATCTATTTATCAGAGTAGGCGAGACCTTTCGTTTGCAACTAAACAATGGTCTATTCAGTTTGCTAAATAACTAAGCACAAGAGTTCACAGTGAAATGTCGACAATAATATTGTAATAGTAACCTAATTTAATGTTCTATAAAGTATTATAAATATTTAGCTTTATTTAGTTTTTATTAGTGCTGTTCCCTGTTGAATATTCATTTCATTAAAATTTTTCGTTTATTTTCGAAATTTTGCGACGATATGAATGTAAAAGTTTGGATGTATGGATGTTTGTTACTCAATCACGTCAGAAAGACTGAACGGATCTGGATGAAATTTGGCACAGAGATAGATTATAGTCTGGAATAGCACATAGGGATCATGTAAACTTTTTATATTCAGGAAAAATGTACGGTTCCCGTGGGATAGATTTGTTTTTATTTTTGAGTAAAAATTGCGTGCAAAGATAGTAGCTGTATTTAGCGAAGAGTTCAACGATACATTTAAAAGCAATTGTTGCACTAAAAGTATGTAAATACAAATACAGTTTTTGAAGTAAGTAAAAGAAAATTATTTATGACAATGCAAGTCATAGAAGTCATGAAAATTCATTGTAATATGGTGTAAACATATTGGCACAGATCGCAAGTTTAAGTCCCAACGAAATGATGTTTTTAATGAGCTATACAGGTTATGTTATGTTGCCGATATAAATAAAAAATGTCGATCAAGAAGGTATCTATATATAAATAGACAAAGGTTCCTCTATTTGTCAACTGATTTTCTTTTTATTTAAATCATTTTAAATATAACTATCTCTTCGGATTTTTTGGCGGATCGATTTTGATTTTTTCTTTTTTGATCTATTTTGACCACCCACAAAATTACAAAATGAATTCAAAAAAAAAAAAAATTGTATACAAAATCAAAATAAATCCGTGAAAAAATCCAAAAAGATATTTTTTTTAATTTAGTAGCTATTGACGAGCTTCAGTTTTATCATTATTTTAGGCTAATTTGGACCCCCGACGGACACACAACAGTTTCAATAGCGGTATAAAAATGTGTTCTTAAAAGTGAAGATATAAGGATATTCTGTGCTTCACCCACTTGAGTAAGTTCATGGAGATGAAAACAATGACAATCATAAAGCAGTAATAGCACATGTGCGAAGTACTTTAGCTTTCAGGACGGTTGAAGTCCAATAAACAATACTAATAATTAATCGAAAAAGACGTATGTATATATATAAATATAGGTAGCATAGTTCATGAAAGTCGACATGATAGTAAATATAATATGACGTGGTAACCAGGTGAGTAAGACCTTTCCTATAATAGTTTTACTGTAGCGAAGTCAGACCTTTTACAAGTAGCTAAGTTGAGATATTTTGTTACTTGTAATGACAAATTTTAGATTTCGTTCTAAAATTTCTGCTTGATTGTTTTGTCACGAATTATATTACGACCATTTAGATTATTATTGTTAGAAATATTCTCTTTATGTACAAACAAACTAATATGAATCGAGCAATATTGAGAATAGATTTTGTTTAGCCAATATCGAATTCATTTTTAATGATCGGTGCTTCTGCAATATTTTTTATAACTAGAAGAAAAACTAAATTATTAAAATATAGGTACTAAGTCATTTTTGTAATCTTATCAAAAATTTTGAATGGAAGCTTTTTAGTAAAGCATGAAAACTTAGAAACATGTTAATTTTATATTACACTAGTATCTTTAGTAGTAACTTTCCAAAATTTAGTAATTTTTCGAAACCTTTTATTACCAAATTCAAACCTTTTGTAGGAAAAAAAAAACTTTTTAACAAAAAAATAAAAACCGACTTCAAACAAAAGCACTAAAAAGTAAAAAATAACTAATTGGTAGTTTTCATTTACTATACATACCTAATCAAATATTTTCGAAGTCGGTGTGCTTTGCTTTGTATGGGCTGGCACCGATTTCGAAAATATTTGGTTAGGTATGTATTTAATAGGTAGGCTTTGATTACTTAGCCAAAGCACACCGACTTCGAAAATATTTGATTAGGTATGTATAGTAAATGAAAACTACCAATCAGTTATTTTTTACTTTTTAGTGCTTTTGTTTGAAGTCGGTTTTTATTTTTTTGTTAAAAAGTTTTTATTTTTCCCTTTTTAGTGTAGACAGTAGTAGCAAAGTAGGCATTCTAACGTGTTAAGCTTGTCAAATCGAACAAAATAAGCCCAAACTCAAAGTATCTACTATTAGCCGTTGAAGAGTTCCACCTATCCACCTTCTGGCCTTACCATCAGATCAGGTCAACAATATCGAACCACTGTACTATCAACGGAAATAGAAACACATGCAAAGTTTCAAGTCAATATGACAATTAGAAGTAGGTTAAATTCATCATTAGCTATTTTTCCACCCTTAGGAGTGGTATTTTTTTTTGAAATTTAAATGGGACCAATCTGGAAGTATACACTTTCAAACAACACAAAAATTGTCCAAATCGGTTCATAAATGACGGAGTTCTGAGGTAACAAACATAAAAAAAAAAAAAAAAAAAAAAATACAGTCGAATTGAGAACCTCCTCCTTTTTGAAGTCGGTTGATGAAGTCATCCGCAAGATTCGGTTGCGTATAATGTGTCTGAGAAACTTTCACGCCAGTATTTCTGTAAGTGAAAGTTCAAAACTCTAAGTACTCATTGTATTTTTGTCATTCACGATCTATACCTTTAATCTTAATCTCTACATATAAAGTACGCCCACCATTTAACGGAAAAGGAAAGTTTGAGATATAGTCTATATCTAATAACTTTTACACAAATACACTATAGTATATATAGTATGTTTGTGAAATCAAAAAATACTTTGTCAATAATATCAAATATCATTTTATAGGATTATTTTAAAATTTCTTATTATATCATTGATTTGAAATCTTGATATAGATCTCAATTACGTGAGCGAACTTGTGAAAGTATTTCTAAGCGAGTTAATCTAATAGTCAGAGCCTATGCATCCGCATCCACCGTTGAATCCGTCACGATCAAGCACGACTGCCATTTATTAATATTAAACGAAAATTCGTTATCCAAGTGGCCTTGGACCGCGTTCCTTTCAGTTCTACTTAATGATGACAGTTGCTTGAAATGTTTGTAATGGCACCAGCTCAATGACAATACTGCGCTGCGGTCACGGAGATTGGAAGGTTTATTAACATACGAATCGTAAATATTATAAGAGCAAAAACTAGATAAATATCCACGAAGTTACCCTGTTTGTTTACGTCATTATCATTAAAGATTAATGAAATGAGAATTTGTAGTGAAAACGACATGCCGAGATGTTTTGTAACAGCTATCGAAAGTGTGCTGGTACACTGAGGCTCGGCACGCCGTAGTCGTCGAAAGTGAGACCGTGAGGTTGCGCAGGCGCGTTACGAAGTTTTTATTGTCGGCGGTGCGCGAAATCACTTGAAAGTTGTATTGTCCTTGGATATTTCACTTCTTTATTTGCTGCGTTTCTGATACCCGAGCCGAAGTTCAGTCGCCGGTGACGCCAATTGTACGCTTTGAGTGTGTTAGTGCCACTCTCATATCCCCTTCACTATGCTCTCGAACAGACTTAATCGCGCTCGATACTAAATATTATCCAAAAAGACTGTTTAAACGATTCAAAAATGAGATTTAGGCTGAAATGGTGAAGAAAGTTAAACCTGATGCCCGAAGGTTGATGAGTTATATTATAATCTCTTACCGAGGGACGATTATAGATAAGAGTTGATCCTCGTTGGGGCAATCCAGGGTGTAGTAGCGCGCAGGGGCGCGCGGCGGTTTCCCGGCGCTTGCGCCACTTCCACGCTTGCGACACGCTTCCTGCAGGAGAGTGCGAGGCCGCGCGAGTTCGCGCGTTGCCTAACGCTTCGCCGACCCGGTTCGGCTTTCACTGCGATACACCAACTGAATCCAGGGTTGATAGCACAGAACACTGTAATCCGGGCACAGTCACAGGCGCGGGTTTGCGGGGGATCGCGGTGGTTCGCGGGAGAGCGTAGAGTCGGCGCGACGGCGCTGCGGGCCGCGGGCGCCGGGCGAGTGGCGTGCCGGCGCCGCCGTCGGTTGCGCCACGCTGGAAAGTAAAAGTGAGCGGTGGGCGCGGGGCGCGGTGGCACATTTCTCCCACTTTCGCCGCAGTGATTCACGCTGAACCAAGGTCGCTTCCAGCCGATGTTTAATACTCCTGTAAGTGTTGCGGGCTGATGCTGCGCACGCGCAACCCATAAACATCGTTGCTGGGAGAATATTTATTGGACTGTAAATGAAAATAAGGACAGCTATCATCTACATAGCAGAACCCTTTCTATATCATTGTTTTGTCAAGACTCCATTTACAGATTCCATTCACTAAACATATATATATTTGTAAGTAGATATGAATATTGGAAAGTTCAACAATGTGAGCTCAACATTGTAAGCGTATTCTATTGAAGATTCGAGAGGTTTTACGCGCTAGGTGGCAATGAGGTGCCACGTTAATTAGCCACAGGACCACAATAGGTCACGAGCTTGCACTAATGCCTGCACTCATTGTTCCTCCACATGTCATAGAAGTGGTTTACCACAATAGTTCAAGGTCAAGAATAACATCTTGACAAAATTCTTGCTATATATGAAAACCCATGGATGCTAAGCCTCATGTTACACTAAAGTAGTTTTAACAAAGATTCTTTATTTTATAAGCGTTACTCAGTAAGAAACATTTTCTTCAAGTGAAATTAGAATTTCTTTTACCGTTGGAAAGTAATTTTGATAAATTTCTATGTCCGACAATTGACTCTATGTTTTTCAAATATTGTAAAGTCAAATTATATTGTAAAGTCAAAAATAAAAAAGGTTAAAATTACAAGAAAAATTTAACTCTTGAAAGGACTAGAAAGAAATAAAATATCAAATTGGCTTCTTAGGTATCAATTTAATGAGAATGTTGATTGTAGACGTAGACTATATAATTTGTATGTAATGAACGTGATTTAGTCACGTAGCTAACCTAGTAAACTACATACAATAGAACATTTGTGCGTTTGTTATCGAAATTTCAATGGGAACGGATGGGAATGGATAGCAATATCAGCAGGCAATAGTGCAATTATTCTATTTAAAGTATGAAATGACATAATTAAAATAGATTTATTGTGTCATGAGAAACTAAAAGCTTATCAAAGAGAAACAAATTCTCGTTCTACTTTGTAATAAAAACTGCAGTTTATGGAGATGAATAACATAGCCAGTTACTCTGGATACACATGACTGATTGACTCATTTACGCCTAGATCAAACCGTTGCATTTAGGTAGGTAATTTGATAACACAGCATTCTTTTGCTGGATATCACGAAGAAAATATTTTTTGAAATTCAATCTTCTTCTTGTATTTCCAGTACAAGGGAAATAAAATTTGTATAATATTTTTCTTACCAAACTTTAAATTGCGTATAATCTTGCTCCTGAACATGATTAGTGAGCATTTACAGGCTAAAAACTGAAGCAAATCGCGGCTCCACGCTCTCATTTCAATTCAATTATCTATTACTATATCTTTAATTATTATAGACTATGTGTTATTTTGATGTATATTCTATGTTACTGTAAAGTTTCATCAAAATCCGTTCATTAGTTTTTCCGTGAAAGAGCAATTAACATTTATTCATCATGTCTCATAAAATTTCGCGTTTATAATACTAGCGACATACCCTAGCTTCGCTTTGGGTTCGTCTCTAGTCAAAAACAATATCCCAAACAAAAACAGTATCTCACGGGAACCGTACATTTTTCCAAGATAAAAAGTAACCCATGTGCTATTCCAGACTATAATATATCTCTCTGCCAAATTTCATCCAGATCCGTTCAGTCGTTCTAGCGTAAAAGAGTTACAAACATTCATCCATCCATCCTCACAAACTTTCACTTTTATAATATAAGTATGTATTAGTAGGATAGTCTCAACTTTCAGTATGTAAATATTTTACTTTAAATATAGTGTTTTATACATTTACATTACCGATAATGAATTCTATAAACAGTGTAAAAAATTGGAATTTTCATTTAAGATCTATTAAATAGTATTTACAATAAAAATTTAGCATTCAGTACTTGTACCTCCTAATCTCGTTCTAAAAAGCGATACAGTTATTAATCTATATATATATATATATATATATATATATATATATATATATATATATATATATATATATATAAAAAATTTTTTATATATATATTATAATGAAATTGTAACTAAGCCGAATCTGTACATTAAATATTTTTTGGAAAATCTTATTGAAATAGACATTTCTATCGATATAGAGGCCGAATCTATAGTTTTTAGAATTTTTTTGTCTGTGTCTATCTGTCTGTCTGTCTGTCTGTTACCGCATCACGGAAAAACCACTGGAGGGATTATACGGGTAAACATATAGGATACTTTTTAGCGCGGGAAAATATCTCATTTCTGAGAAAAAAATACAAAAACTGCATTGTAAGAGTATACTAATATGTAAAACCTAAAAATTTGGTTTTTGGTAATCTGAACGCGGGCGGAACCGCGGGCAGTGCTAGTCGTCAATATAATTATTTGATGCTTATAATATACATATCAATGTTCTTATTGCTAAGTTCAAAAATATGAAAGCTCTTCTATAGTTTTTCATTCCATTAATTCTTTTATGTTTGAATTTTCAAAAATCCCTTCATAGTTCTCTCACTTTCCTTTCTTCAAATAGGTATCAGTGATTAAATGTTTAAGTGAGTCGCTGTTCAGTCAGCGTCTGTCAGTCAGGCAATATTAGATTTTAATTAGATTGAGATTTTTTTATTTTGATTTAGATATCAAGCATTTCAATTCTCTAAGTTCACTATTTATCTACAAACTAAATACACACACACAGTTATTATAAAACATGTACATAATATGTATGTTTCCGACTGCATAACACTTTATTCATTCGTCAACTTCTTTTCATCTTTTTAGTTCGCATTTTTCGCTGTCGGGTTTTTCATTTTTATAAATATTATTTTTATTTCTGCTTTTTTTGGCATTTGTCATTCTAAATTACATTTCAACATATTAATTGTGTATTTTTTTGTAAGCCGTTTATTTTAACACCCCACTCGATAGGTTATGAGGAAAAAAAATTTGAAGATATAATGTGGCGTCAAAAATCGGCCATTATTATTTTTTATAATTTTCATACATCCAGTGTTACTCTCACAATTAAGACAAATCTAACGACACCTCTCAAGCTAAAATCCATCAATCCGTTTCGCCTACATACTCGAAAAACATAACCCATCTTCCGGCGCAATCGGGTAAAAATATTATGTTCCTTATTTTAAATTTTACTTAGTCTTGTGATTATTTCTGTTAATCGTGCAGATAAATGGATAATTCAATATGTATTATATCTAAATATAAACTCTATTATTATAACACTTTAAACAATAATATGAATATATTATTTTGCAATCAATTGTCATCGGACAATAATAATAAATTCTCAAAGGACTTTTCTTTATAACTAAAACCTAGGTATATTGTACAACCAATATTGCTAATTCACCATACGAAAAGTAGTTAGAGGATTTACGAGACTTTTTCTAGACTTTTCTACTATTTCTAAGCAAGACATTCCTATGTAATAAATTACGAATCTCACAATATTTGGCCTAAATTAGAATTAGTATGAATTAAAACGATGATCTAGATAGTTAAATTTGTATTACGTATATGCCACTAAAATAGGAAACTTTATTGAATACTATATAAAAGTCTGCCCTCTAAACTTACACTTGGCCAGTTTTATTTTTTTAATGATTTCAATTTGAATGTATTGGTAGCCTAAGCTCAGGGAACTTCGCTAGTATTTGATTCAATAGGTGAAAAGGTCAGCGTGGTGAACTTTATCCTGATCCTCCTCGCATTCCTCAATACGAGGGAGGCCCGTGCCCAATTGCCCAGCAGTGGGATAAAGGGCTGAATAAAATTTTGTTTTATATTTATTAATGACAGTATTTATTACAGCACATATAAAAGTCATTTAATAACGTATTTTGTACTTGTACGGAAAAACTAAATTCTTAACTTTTTGTTTTTCTTATAATTAAAAAAAACTATTTTTTCGAATTTTTTCGCTTATTTATTTTGATTTTTGGTTCCCGAAATCTCGAATACTTTACAGCAATCCTAGTCACGCGAAAGATTCCCAAAATGTAAAAAAAATATTTATAAAGAAAAAAGTTTTTTTTAAATGTGGAATTTCATATTTACTTCACAATATATTTTTTATTAGAAAAACTTTTACTTATTACAGCTTGTTGCAAAATCACATTTTATTGCAACCTTTGTGCATTCGCAATAACGATCTCAACCGGTTCCTATCGTTAATGGATGACGTCAGGATATACTTCGTTTATGCATTGTGAAATAAGCTGCATGCTAGACCAGCCACGGTCAGATGAAAGCAGCTCAATATCCTATATCCAAATAGCAGCTATTACTTAAAATACACGATTTGTAGAAAAACGGAAGAATAAACGTAGTGGAGAAAGGTAATATTACATGGTTGGAACTAGCTATTCTTAATATAACACGACACCACGACATTTAACGACACTTGGCTCAGTTTGTAGTGACGATGGCATAGCAAGTAGTGCTGTGCCAACGGTCTCGGGTTCGAGTCTCGCTGGGGAGATTCATTTGTGTAATGAGCACGAATATTTGTACTCCAGTCATGGGTGTTTATATTTATATTATGTATGTATTTAAAGTTATGTATGTGTAGTGTATCAACTATCTGGTATCCATAACTCAAGCTTCATACCTTACCATGGAACTAGATGATGCTGTGTGTTAATGTCCTAATATATTTATAAATTATATAACTTTTATTTTGTAGTTGAATGCTAACTTAAACGAAAGTGGATCGTTAGTTAGAAAAAGAACACTACTGCTTATTTAAACATCATGAGAACTAAAACAGTTCTGCAATAGACCAAGGGACGCAATATTTTAAAATTAAATGTATAAATTATAGTAAATATTTACTAAGGAATTCATTATATTCATTTTACTGCACTCGTTTTAGAACAACAATAATCAAACGAAGTACGAGGAAAACTGTAATTATTGTGCGTAATTATAAGGTACAGAACCCGGGTAGGTGTGATCGGTCACCTTTGACCGATTCTATTAAACAATATGACATGAGTGTGATGTCAGGCGACATTGTAATGAATCACAGCCCGTAAAAGGACCATTGCGCAATCAATATACATACATATACATATAAATAAAAATGTTAATGTTCGTATGTACAAAACCACTATCCGAATGTTCTTCGACGATTGCTTCGATTTTTTTTCAAACGTAAGTGTTTTATTGAAGCATTTATTGACAATTCGATCACCATGAAAATTTGTACATATTAATATTTATTATATTATATATAACAAAGAGTATTTCGCATCATCCATTTACTAAAACGAAGCCGATGTAAAAGGTTTATTTTAAAAATAAATATTTCATATTAAAATCGTATTTTTTATTAAGTCTGTAAAATAAGTTATAAATAACCTTTATTAGTTTGAGTACAAACCAAGATGGACTAATTAGGTCAAAGATCATGTTGGATTTCTGCTTGAGCTAATTAGCCATATTGACAATAACGAAACCCTATTTGACATTGGAAAAGTACTGTTCCATAGATCTTTTCCACTTCTTTTCCTCTATTTAGATGTATAGTGAATCATAATTGATGATTAACAGGATCCGCTGAAAACAAATAAATCGTAAAGAGTACAATTTAAGTGCTTTGTCAGTTGTCACATTTGCGTTAAAACTATAGGAGAAATTGAAACTAATAGCACATCTGATTTGATTATGTAAGTATTACATTTTTACTATTTTAAATCGACTACGTAAAATACCTGTCCCAAAATTTTATTTTAACAAACGAAAGTTATACTCACACGCCACACGTGTAAACTGCTAATTCATTATATATTATTTTTCCTAAGTATAATATATTGAATTATTTTAAGTTATTTAAATTTTATTGGTGTATATTTTGAAAATAATTGTGTTTTTGTTTGTACATTATCTTTGAAATACCCTTTCTGGGGAAAGCTAAAGTAGTATAAATCGGTTAGGAATGCGCGATTATGCACACGCAACGAAAAGAGGTTCAAAATACGTTATTATACCATATTTCAGATAGATCGGCGGCATGCGCTTTTCGGAAGTACACCCACTATTATAACTACGAAAGTCTGTATGTGTGTAAGTATATTTGTTACTTCACGCTGAAATGCCTAAACAGATTTAGATGAAACTTATAAACAGATAGATTATAAGCTGGAGTAAAATAGAAGTTTTTGTTAAGAATTAAATTTGCCAAATGTGGCGCTATCTGTGCATTGAACTACTATTATAGTTGCAAAAATTTGTATGTACCTATTTTACAGGGCATATTTATATGTAATTTACTACCCAGATATGCCTTGCAGTAATATAAAAGAAAAGAATAATAAGAAACGAGGGTAGTTATTAGTAATACTATACCTAAAATATAAAAGGCACTTAAGCAAAGCAAGGTTCTGTCTATAGTTTAAAATGAAATTTTAATTGAGTACGTTCACTAACATATTAGAAATCATGACACGATCAAAAGGATGTTAGTTAAAGAGTTACCAAACTGCAAAGGAAGAAGCATTAAATCCTTTTACATATAAGTAGTTGGGTAATTAATTTTTCCTACTTTTAAATAGAACTATCTTTAAGTATTTTTTTGCTTATGATTACTGTAAAGCATTCAAAGTATAGCATTCGGAACCAAAAATCAAAATAAACGCGTGAAAAAATCCGAAAAGATTGATTTATTTAAAACTAGCTACTCACCCTCGCTTCGCTTCGGTTCGTCCCTAGGTACGTTTTAATTTTTTTTAGCGGAACCCTAATTCTTTTTCTAAAATAAAAGTAGCCTATGTTACTCCCTATAACATCAGCTATCTTCCAGTGCAATTCCAATGAAAATCAGTATAGCCGTTTCAGAGATTATCCGGAACAAACAGACAAAAATCTTAAAAATTGTGTTTTTCTTTTAAGTACCGTATATAATTTCAAATGGAATTAGTGAAACACTGTTATTTTGACATTACAAACAGACACTACAATTTCATTTATCTGTACAGACTAGTGACTTAACCTCGTTTCGCTCGGATGCGTTCTTAGGTGCGTTTTAAATAGATATGAATAGTTTTTGCGAATGTACCTTAGAAGAAAGAAAGCTCTTGCAGATTTGTCTGTAGGCCTTATTAAAACCTACAATTTCCTGATACATTGTTTTGATGTATCTTTTAAGGCTTAAACCGCGTTAGACATGTAAACATCTAAGAACGACTCGATAGAACCAGTTATTGTGTTTTCCCGTGGGAATGAAAGTTTTTCCCGTAGTAAAAGGTATTCTAAATATTGACCCGAGTAATAAGTTAACACTACACAAAATTAAGTCTAAATACGCTCAGTACCTTTTGTGTGAAACGCGCACATCGATTTCACTAAGTTACTGTTTTATAATATGTATAGATTTTATATATTCGCGTAAATCTAAGAAAGTGTTATATTTTTCTTACTTATAAAAAAGAAAGCAATTCGTTTAGAATAATTAATCCCCTAACAGATTAAATTATGAAATGCAAAGGTTAGGGGCAACATTTTAACTAAAAAAAACACCGAGGAAACTCTTGCTTTTCCTCTAATGCAGCTATACTCAACCTGCGGCCCGCGGGCCGCATGCGGCCCGCCGGGCCTTTGTTATTGGCCCATCTGAAGTTACATCTCAGAGTTGGTTTCCGTTTTAAATTTTAATTACTCAGAGTTGTTTGATGAGTTCACCGATTTTTAAAACGATACCAATCTAGAAGTTCTGTTGAAAAAAAAAGGGAAAACAGACCATTACTGAAACGTGTTTGTGGCCCCTATAAAAAAAGGTTAAGTATGGCTGTTCTAATGGAATCATGTTTGTACTTAAAACACGAAATATAAAGATTTAACTATGTGATAATTTATCGTAGTATAGGCGGATTGTTTTCGGTTTCTAAGCATTGAGAAAATAATGTTAGATGTATTTATGAATATAAATAACTAGCATTGCCCGCGGCTCCGCCCGCGTTCAGATGATCAAAAACCAAATTCTTAGGTTTTACATATAAGTATACTCTTACATTGCAGTTCTTGTATTTTTTTTCAGAAATGAGATATTTTCCCGCGGTAAAAAGAATCCTATATGTTGACCCGGATAACCAGTTATCACCATACCAATTTCATCAAAATCCCTACAGTGGTTTTTCTGTGATGCGGTAACAGACAGATAGACAGACAGACAAAAATTGTAATACCTATAGATTTGGCCTCTGTATCGATAATAATGTTTATTTGAATAAGATTTTCCAAAAAATATTTAATGTACAGATTCGGCTTAGTTACAATTTTATATATCTATATATATACTTATATATAAAATATATATATTGATTTTTTTTGTCTAAAGTCCTCCTGTCTAAAGAATACGCGATAAACTCGAAAACTACTGAACGGATGTGATACCGTTATACGCTTTCAACAATACGAAAA